ATACATATGTGCATGCATATTTGCACACACTTGAACATGCATACATACATGTACACTTACATAGTTGACATATTCTATATGGTTGTTTATGTTTATAAACACACTTACTGATTATATATATATATATATATATATATATATATTCAGAGGGCCGCGGACCCCAGGAAATCCCCCCCCCGCACCTAAAGAATTTGACCCACCCCGGACCTTTCGGGTCGCCCCCCAAACGACCTGGGAGGATCTCACGAGAGTCCGAAGACGGCCCCAGAGGGCCCCCAACGTCCGGACGCGCTCCCGAAACGATTCCAGAGAACCCCAAAACGTTCGACGACGATCCCAAAGGAGCCGTCGTACCCCCAAAGATCGTTCCAAAACCGTCCCAAGAGGCCCCCGATATCACTCCCAAGAGGGCCCCGCGAGGCACAATTCATTGATTATCCGTAAGTTTTCGTTGTGGATTGTTGAGGTCTGCCCTTTTTGGATTCCCGACGCTCCAAGACGGCCCACGAGGCCCCCAAGATCGCCCTGGAACGGCCCGACAGACATCCAAGAGGGCCCCAAACCTGCCCAAGAAGGTCCCAGCCCGCCCAAAAGGGCCCCCAGACAGTCCCAACAGGGTCCCAGGAGGCTCCAGGAGGTTCCCAAGATGCCCCGAAGAGGCCCCAAGAGGCCCCCAAGAGGCCCCCGAGAAGCCCCGAGAGGTCCCCGAGAGTCCCAGAAGATCCCGCCAGGACCCCACATAAGTTCGAAAGTGCCAGAAAAAGCCTTCAAGACAGTTCCAAAACGGGCCAGGAGCCCGAACGTGACCCCAAGACAGCCCAACAGAGCCAATGCGCGCCCCAAGACGGGCCCAAGCCATAACGGGACTGCACCACGTCGCACAGAGGCCCTCAGAAGGCTCTGGGAGGTTCCATTAAGGTCCACGTGACGGTGGCACTCTGAACGTGAGGCCCCCCAAGAGCGAACGGCGGCGCAAACCAAGTTCAGCGTCGAGATCATCGAGTTCCTCTGCGACACGGGCCCGAGGCCCCCCAAGGCCCTCACGCGGCTCCTCCGATAGTCCCAAAGACCGTCTCCTATCCAAGTCGTTCGGCACGGGGCAAGCCCTTCATTTCGTTTCTGGCCCCCCCGCCTGTGGTCACGACCTCGTGCACGTATGCAGACATGCATATGTGTGCGCGTAGATCTGCCCAACGTTGAACATGAAGCACATGGATGCGCAATCATGGATCTCTCTCTCTCTCTCTCTTTCTCTCTCTCTCTCTCTCTCTCCTATACGACCGCTCTTCGGGTGATGAGGAGGTTCGGGGGAGGGGGGGGGGAACCGGCGTCCCACTCGATCGGTTTCACTATCGATCTCACTATCGATCTCACTATTGGTCTCGCTCGATCGATCTCACTCCATCGATCTCACAATCGATCTCACTCGATCTATTTCATTCGATCGATCTTACAATCGATCTGACTATCGATCTCACAATCGATCTGACTACCGATCTCACTATCGATCTCACAATCGATCTCACATTCGGCCTCTCTATCGGTCTCACTATCGATACCACAGTCGATCTCACACTCAATTTCACCATCATCATCATCGACATCATCGTCGCCAACGTCATCAACATTATCATCATCATCATCATCATCATCATCATCATCATCATCACCGGGACACCATCATCATCACCTCATCACCACCATCAACATCATCATCATCATCACTATCATGATCATTATCATCGGGACACCATCATCGTCACCATCAGCATCATCAACATCATCATCATCATCATCATCAGGACACCATCATCATCATCGGGACACCACCATCATCATCATCATCATCATCATCATCTCATCAGCATCATCATGAACAACATCATCAACATTATCATCATCAGTAGCATCATCGGGACACCATCATCATCAGCAACATCATCATGAACATCATCATCATCATCATCATCGGGACAGCATCATCATCGTCACCATCATCATCATCATCATCGTCATCATCATCATTATCGGGACACCATGATCATCAACATCAGCATCATCATCACCATCATCGGGCCACCATCATCAACATTATCATCATCACCTCATCATCATCCTGATCACTAACACCATCATCATCGGGACACCGTCATCATCATGAGCATCATCATCTTCATCGGGACACCATCAGCATCATCACCATCATCATCAACAGCATCATCATCAACCTCATCATTATCATTATCATCATCATCGGGACACCACCATCATCATCAGCATCATCTCATCACCATCCCATCATCAACATCATCATGATCATCAACAGCATCACCATCGTCATCGGGACACCATCAGCATCATCAGCAACATCATCATCATCAGCATCATCATCATCATCATCATCATCATCATCATCATCGGGACACCATCAGCATCACCAACATCACCATCATCATCATCATCATCATCATCATCATCATCACCATCATCATCATCACCATCATCGGGGCACAATCATCATCATCACCACCATCACCATCATTATCACCATCATCATTATTATCATCATCATCATCATCATCATCATCATCATCATCAACATCATCGACATCATCGTCATCATCATCATCATCAGCATCAGCATCATCATCATCAGCATCAGCATCAGCATCAGCATCATCATCATCATCATCATCATCATCATCATCATCATCATCACCATCGGGACACCGACGGGACACCGGCGGGACACCGGCTGGACACCGCGCCCCACCAGCCCCCGGAAAGGAAACATTTGGTCTGGCCCTCTTGGACTTGGCTTGTTTGGGTATTTTGTGCTGCCCTAAGACCCTCAGGGGTGACGCGTATCTGACCTCTCCACCCCCCTGGGAATTTCTTTGGGCTTCCGGGTTCGCGCGGGGCTTTTATGACCGCGCGGGGACCGCGCGGGGGTTTCGGAATCGCGCGGGGTGAAGGCTTATTTGGGTGGCGACCCCCCTTGGGACCCCCTGGGGACCCCCCCGGGACCCCCCCCAGGACCCTCCCCTGGCGCAGGGAAGGGATCAAAGGGAAGGGGCTTCCCTTCGATTCCACTCCTATGTTGTTTAATTTTGCTTTGGACGGCGCGCATGAGGAAGAGGGCCCAGGCAAATGGAACAGAGGAGGACGGAGACGACGACTACAACGGTAAAGTTTGACTCCAACGGATAAGCCCCCCACAAACGCCGACAAAGTCGGCGGATTTTATCAATACTATTGTTTGGGTCTTCACGCCGCAATGCGGCCCCAAGATGCCCGGAATACTGCCCCAAGATGGCCAAATAAGGCTTGAAGACAGCTCAAGAAGCCATGACAACTGTCGAAGAGGTCCCCAAAAGAGCCCCAAGAAAGGCCCAGTAGGGGGAACGCAAACTGCTTTCTCGAGGCCTCACCCTAAGGTGATCCCCGAGACTGCCAATACGCCCCCAAGACGCCTCCGAGAGGCCCCAGGAGGTCAAGAGGCCCCAAAGAGGCGTCCAACAGGCTTCAAGAGGCTTCAACACAGACTTTGAGAGACCCACGAAAGGCACCCAAGAGACCCCAAGAGACCAGGAAGCCTCTTACACGCAACCCAGGCAGGATGCCGAGATACGCCTGCAGCTAGTGGATAAGAACACATTTTAGCACGGCGAAGGGACAAGCCCGCGGGATCTGTGTCCTCAGCCGATTCGTAGCCCCCAATCGCGTAGCATTTTAGGTGTCGGGATAATCTTCAGGCTCGCCCATCGAGCTCGGCGCAGGGAAACGCCATGAGAAACTAATTCTCGGGCCTGCCAGTGTTGTGTCCGTTGCCGTTTGGTAGCCTCCTCCCCGAGCAGGCGACTTGTGCGAGCTACTAGCTATTGGATCCCCCAGAACCTAACAAAAAACGAGCGTCCGGCCCCTGGTTCCCAAACTCCCCCATCTCCCTGGTGCCCATTTCCGGGCCTGGGGGTTGGTGGACTCTTTGTAAAGACTCCAGGGCTTTCAGCCCTGACATGGGTGAGTACGACCGTAAAATGCCTCGAGCAGGCGCCAAGAGTCTCCCAAGACTGCCAAGACTTGCCCAGGAGGGCCCAAGAGCGTTTCAAGATGGCTCGTGATGGCCTCACGACGGCCCAAGAGGCCCCCGAGATGCGCCCAGGAGGGCCTGACGAAGCATATCATGGATTTCCCTGCGGCCTTCCAATGATTCGAACAGTCTCGCTGTTCCGAGCTTCTGGCAGCTCCAGACGGCCCCAGGGGCTTCGAGGCGTGTGAAGGGTGTGGCGAAGTGGGTGCGGCGCCGCCATGCGGGCGCCCTCGCTGGGGCCGCATGTGGAGCTCCCTGGGGGGGCCACGAAGCGTGCGAGGGGTGTGGCGATGTGAGCGCGGTGTCGCCAGACGGCCGCCCTCGCTGGGACTTTCGGCGGGGCCCCCCATGGGGCCACGGAGCGCGCGAGGGGTGTGCCGAATAGGGTGCGCGGAGAGTAGAGGGACGGCGAAGAGGCACGAGGGGGAGGAAGGAGGATGCGCGCGGCGCTGCGGACTCAAGACGAGGACCCAATTCCACAGGATGGTCGGGGAGAAGAAGCATCTGCAAGTTTTATTCCCTCACGATTCGTTCCTTTCTCCACCCTTCAAAGGACTAATACCAATTCCGACCATCAGAACTGGCATTCACCAGGCAGCCCTGTGCGTGTCCTGAACAGCCATGCCCTGCCCGACCCCTTCCTTGGTTGCGCTTACTATGAAAGTGCTTCGCCTGCTGGGGTGCCTGTTCTGAGGGTGGTTCCTCTGCACTCTTCCCCCCTGCCCCCTCCCTCCCTCTTGTTCTGCCATTCCCTCCCTCCCTCCCTCCTCCCCTCCTCCATCTCCTCCCCTTTGCCTCCTCCGTCCTCCCTGTTCTTCTGCCCTTCCCGCCCCTCCTTCCCTCCTGCCTCCCTCCCCTCCTGCCTCCCGTCTGGCGCTGCCGCGCGCCTGCGGGGATCGCCCTCCGCCAGGCGAGTGGCTGGACGGCAAGAGGGCCAACCCTCCCGCGGGCAAGGACGCAAGGAGGAGGGAGGAGGACCCATTCTCCTCCTCCCCTTACTCCCCCTGCTTCCCCTCCTCTTTTCCTCCGCCACCTCCTCCTCCGCTAAGAAAGCAGACGCGTTTTTCCTTATTAGTAGTAGTGCTCGTAGTAGTAGTCGTAGTCGTAGTCGTAGTCCTAGTCGTAGTCGTAGTCGTATTAGTCGTAGTCGTAGTCGTAGTCGTAGTCGTAGTCGTAGTCGTAGTCGTAGTCGTAGTCGTAGTCGTAGTCGTAGTCGTAGTCGTAGTCGTAGTCGTAGTCGTAGTCGTAGTCGTAGTCGTAGTCGTAGTCGTAGTCGTAGTCGTAGTCGTAGTCGTAGTCGTAGTCGTAGTAGTAGTCGTAGTAGTAGTAGTAGTAGTAGTAGTAGTAGTAGTAGTAGTAGTAGTAGTAGTAGTAGTAGTAGTAGTAGTAGTAGTAGTAGTAGTAGTAGTAGTAGTAGTAGCAGTAGTAGTAGTAGTAGTAGTAGTAGTAGTAGTAGTAGTAGTAGTAGTAGTAGTAGTAGTAGTAGTAGTAGTAGTAGTAGTAGTA